AATGTTTCCTTCAATTCATGTTTGGATTGAGGATCCCATATGCCTATTTGCTTGTGTTTCTGTACTCTTTTGTTCTTGAATGTTCCCCTCAGCCTTTTGTTTTCATAATTGCGACATTTGAAAATGCACTGGAAAGTAATTTTGTAGAATGTTTACAATTTTATGTAGCTTGATATTTCATGATGGTTGGTTTTAGGTTACACATTTTTTTGGCAAAACTACATTTTACGATACATATTTTTGAAAGTACAATGATTAGATAAATTGTTGCTTACAGTTTTGAAAAGAATGTTGCTAAATGAAGGCTATTTCTTCTAACAATAAAATAGCTTTCAATATTGTGAAAATAAAATTGTACAGAATATCTGTCGTTTAGTTTTCTAGGTAGTTGAGTTTTTCCCCTTAAATTAGATAATTTGGCATTAGGCTATATTTTGGTGCATAATTTCCTCTCTGAATGGGTATTCCTGAAATCACACATTGAGAAAATAATAAAAGGTTATAGAATCCAACATGGTGCTCATGGAGGGAATATTATTTTTATGTATCTTTTATTGAGTTTTGAACATTTCATCTAATAGATCTTAATCAAATTTGACCCTCCTCGCCCATCTTCACCCACCCATATCCCCTCACCTGATTTCATGCATTTTGTGATATATGGTAAGGCCTATCAAGTCAAAGTTTTGTACCCAAATGTCTTTTGGTACAAGTTCATTCAGTGCAGTCTAGTCAGCCTCTGGAGTCACTGCCTTAAAGAATATCAACTCTCCCTCACTCTGAAGTAACCAGTTGCCTATACTTCCTCAGCTAAGGTTGGGGCCCCCTTTTCCCCACATCTAAGCTGGATTTTTGTCTGATTGAGTCAGCATGTGTCTTGCGCATGCTGTCCTCATTGTTGCAAGTTCATGTGAGCCACCATGGCTTATGTTCATGCACCAACCTTGGGTCCTACAATCTTTCTACACCCTCTACCACAATGGTTCGTGAGTCATGGGTGGGTGAGGTTTAATATAGGAGTCCTATCCCGGAATACACACTCTGTAGTTTCTTATGCTCAAATACTTGGTCAGTTGTGGCCTTCTGTGTGCATTGCACTCTGTTGTATGAGGAAGTTTCACTGGTGGGGGTTGAGGGATAATATAGCATATTTAATTTTTTTTCATTCGTACCATATCCTTAAGAATGTAACATAATAGAAATGATAACAAAAGTTTAAAGAGGTGTATGGATTTATGCTTTAAAACTGGGACAATGGATAATATTGTCATAATATTGCTATGGACAGTCATTTTAAGTTCTTATTTTCCACTGCAAAAACAGTACAGTACAAGAATTAAACACGTTGGCTGTGTGGTGACACTCCCTAGGGAGAAACCCAGATTTATGATATCCTAATTTAAAGATCTGGGGTGACTCAAATTTCAGTTCATCTATCTATGAAAAGGATAACATTACAGAATGATACAACTATTTAGGATTAAATGGAACAATATACACAGATTCCTTACCGTGGTTCTTGAAATTCATCCCTTACATGCATCTGCCTTCTAACCTAGATGACCTAGTTCAAATCCATTTTCTGGTCTTGATCAAGTACTTTAACTTCTCTTTATCCCAAGCCCCTATTTTGAAATTGAAGCAATAACAGCACCTGCTTCATAATGTTCCAAGGAGTCTCAGTAACCGATAAGCATATTGCTATTATTTTTCTTATTGATCTTTATTAATATCATTAATAAATTACAATATCCTCAGTAATGAAGTTTTAGAAAAATAAGTGGAATTTAGTGCTTTTGTAAGAATTTGTAATTATTTAAATTCTATTTAAAACTAAAGAAAATACTGAGACAAATATTTCTAAGGAGTATGTGCTTTTCTCCAAGAATGCAATTGCTGAAAAAATTTTCATTTTCAATGAAGATAGCATTTTATAGAAAACTGAAGTTCTTAGAACCAGCTTAGACCTAGCTCAGTGCAGCTTGATTTCCGTCCACCCTGACAAGCTACATTTTCTCTCCCCACTCTGTCCTCATCCCAGCCTTGGGCCTAGGCCTGCTCCTACTCTTTCTCCTGAGACGCCTGGAATAACCTCATAACCCAGACCCTGCCTTTGGATTTTGTTCTCCCTGCACCCAGACTAGTTACATTCTCTTGCTTCAAAGCCCATACATATTCTGCCAAGCTAGTTAAACCCTCCCCATGCTGTCCTCACCCTCACCTTGGTCCTAGGCCCCTCCCTAGTGGTTTATTACTTCCTCTATGTAATGTTACCAAATATATAAATTTTATGCAATTTAATTCCCACAAAAATCTGTGAAATAGGCAGAACAGTGATAATTTTTTTCTGTGTGTGAAATATGAGGAGATTCTGTCATGTGTTACCACCACCTTATCAGGGCTCCAATAATTATTTTTGCAGAAAAAAGATACATCTTCTGACAGTTGGAACATTGCTCTTCTCAGCACATCACAGTGTTACTCAGTGAGGCTTCAAATCTTAAAGTCTGCAAAGCCAATTCCATAAGTCAATTAGGATAGTTTTTTCTGTTTTGAGACTTCACCCTTCTAACTAAAATTTGACTTGGCCATGGTCATCTTGAATTTCGCTTTTCTTCCATGAGACTACTGTGGACATTTTGGTGGTTGTTTTATATGGGCAGAACACACATATAAAGGATAATACATCTCAGATGACTTAAATATTTAAAGGGAACAATTAACCATTAAGATAAGGTTAGAATTATAAAACTATGTGCCATTGAATTGCACAACCAGAACTGACAAGACATCTCTGCTGGTAAAGGGGCTTGTCACTAATCAGCACACACATTGCCATAATAAATAAATAAATAAATAAATAAATAAATAAATAAATAAATAAATAAACCAACCAACTATACAATTCCTTCAATAATGAAACTTCATAGGTTCATATGAAATACATTTGTTTACATCTTACTTTCCCTACATCTCTATTTGCTTTAACACTTCTAAAATATATTTGATCAATTTATTCTATGTATTTGAAGCTGTAGATAAATTTATTTATCTGCCATCTCTTGCTTAGCTAGCCCTGAAACAGGTTTCCCTGATCTCCCTCTATGTGTACTGACAAATGTTAGCTTTAAAAGCAGGAACGCTTTTTTTCTTCAAGGTTTCATTGAATTTTCAAGGGAGAATTAAGGTATTTATTTTTGTGCAACAAAATTCCCCATTGAACACTTATAACATCTGTCTTTTATTTAATGATTTATGAGGTTTTATAAAATTTTTACTTTCCACTTGCATAGAACCCTACAGTTGCAGTTTTTCAAGAGGTTTAATAGATACAAAGACTGCCTTTTACCCTTTTTAAGATATTATCAGTAGTATTACATGCAGTATTGAAAAAAATTAAGAATGCAAAGCATACAGAAATTTTAATGATTTCAAAGTTTAAAATATTTTAGCCTAAATAATATGTCAGGGGAAAATAGAGATCAGAATAGAAAATACAGATGGAGTCTGACCAGAATTCAGGTTAGAGCTATTAATTTACCATAGATCCTATTCGAGAATTAGATTATTAAAAAGTAGATTCTGATTTCTTCTGATAACACGGATAGTCTGATATTGTTTTTGTCATGTTGGTATTGCCTTCATTACTTACTTTGTGGCAAGAAAATTTAAAACCATCTTTTTCATACCATTAGGAAAGTAAAAAGGGATGGAGAAGGAAGGATGGAGGGGAGGGCAAGAATAAATATTTGGAATCATAGATATGATCAAAGCACTTGATCAATGCAATGTACTTATTGCATATGACATAAAAATATGTCATAGTTGACTCTGAATTTGCTGTTTTGATTAGCATAAACTTTTTGAATTCCATTCATTTTCTCCAGTAAAATGATTTTATCTCTTATTTTGAATTAAAACAATTTAAATTGTTATGCATTGTATTAGAAAACACAAAAAAGTAGAAATCATATTGGGAACAAACAGGGCATAGAAAGGGGAATGGTGAGAAGAGGGAGCGGTGGGCAAATGTGAGTAGCAGGGAGGACACATGAATATGTTCTGCCTGAAATACGTGTTTGAGAATACTTAACCAATTATTTTTGTTTAACAAATCTATAAATAAAATTTCAAATTAATTCCAATTAAATAATGAAGTGCTTTTATTTGGAAATTTCATAGTGAAACTCATTAGTTAGTTAACATTAGCTGATTTTAATGAGGAAATTTGTATCACACTCCAAAAGTTTTATCTTATCGGTGCTTAATACATGCCTTTCAACTCTTACTAGAAGCTTGCCTTCCATTCTCAGTTTTCTACCAATGGACATATTTCCACTTGTGTACATTAAATACCTATGAACATGTGCAATCAAATTTGAATGTGAAACCTCAAATGGATTCCCTGACACAAAGCCATTATTGATTACTCACTTCCAGAGACCTGTAATCTTGGTAATGAAACTTTCTATTCTGTTCATAACTTTTTTTCTGAAAACATCATGCTTTTAAATATATAAATACATAGATATATAAAAGGGGTGTGTGTGTGTGTTTTCCTGCACGTAAGATTGACGATCTTTCTGCTACCATCTTGAACCTATGGAATAGGTTTATGTTAAGCATTTTAATGTTATCTATTAATTCTATCTTACCTTTCAATTTTAACTTTTGTGTTATTTCTTTATCTTTTATGATCTAATTGTTTCTCTTTATGTTTTATATTATATTTTCCTACTATTTTACAAGACTGGTTGTTAAATTACATGCCAGAAATTTCAAATCTTATCTTGCTTGGCCCTCCTATATTCTTGTTGATCATTTTTCTTGATTACGTCAAAGTTACTTTGAAAAAATTGAGTCTTACAAGTCTTGATTTTAAGTTTTGCTAGATAACCCAGGAATAGTCTTAATATATGACTAGCTTCTCTCCACTACTGTAGCAATGTACTTCGGTTTTATCTCCTTCATTATTTCTAAGGTTTATTACTTTTTCCCACCTTGGGAGAGCAGGAACACAGTCCCCTGCTACCACAAATTATACAGTCGAGTTTCCCATGTCTGAGGAAATCGCAGAGGTTGGCACATCCCCAAGTGCAAAGAATGAACCTCACCTTGGGAAAACCACCTTCCTGATCATGGGTTTCCTCTGCAAAGTAACAGTAAGATTTATTACTTGTACTGCAGAGAAACTGTACTACTCTTGCCTTTGTAGGTGCTAAACTTATAGCCTGTTCTCTAATTCTTTTAAAGGCATTGGTTGCATTTTTTGACAGGGTCTGTAGATCAGGTTGGCCCAGGTCGCACTTGGTTGCTGAGGATGACCTTTAATGCCTCATCCTCCTGGCTCAACCTCCAAGAACTGGGGTATTTTATTACTATGTCTGGTCAAAATGCTTCTTGCCCCACATTCATACTAAAAATTTTGTTGGCCACAATTTCACTGTTTCTAACAGAAGATATAAGAAATTTATCAATGACTTGAGCCTCAGTTTCAACAGGGCAATGTGAAGAGGGTCACGTGGTTCACAAACATACAATAGACTGTAATTATAGGATGGAAATCCTGAGTTCAGTGAATATATAACTTTTACACTGTGCAGTAAATACAGTTGTTCTGGCTGGGCATGGTGGCGCACGCCTGTAGTCCTAGCACTTGGGAGGCAGAGGCAGGCAGATCTCAGTGAGTTCAAGGCCCGCCTAGTCTACATAGTGAGTTTCAGGAGAGCTGGGGCTACAGGGAGACCCTGTCTCAAAAAAAGACAAAAAATACAGTTGTTCTTTTCATCCAAGAGAGATCCATTTTCCGTCTACTAATGTGATTCAGCATACTACATCTTGACAAAACATATCAGCACAAAGACAGTACCTCTGCATATAAGACATACAAAATACAACACACACTATGGACTGAAATGTGTCCTTTGAAAAATGTATAAGAAATCCTCTTCCTATAGGTAACTGCATTTGGAAATAGGTCCTTTAGTGCACAGTCCCATAAACTGTAGGCAATACAACATGTAAGTGTGGAGGTTGCAAAAATCTTTCAAGTACTGAAAGGTTTCTGAGTATGCAATAAGCAAAAATTAATATGAAATCGAATTCATAATGAATGTGACATGATTTTCTGCTGGCACTCACCTGTGTTGCACCACACAAAATCACTGCTACCTTATGTCTGAAAACAGAGCATGCGTACTCTATATTGAAAATATTGTCAGTCCAAGCAATTCCAAGAAATCCTATCTCAAACAATTCAGCTCAAAAGCAAGAGCTTAATGTTTCCTGGTCTTATCAACGTATAAGAGTTTAATTAAAAAATATCTATGTTCTTACTGTTATTCCTACTATGTAAATATCAAATTAGTTTATATTTCTATTGTATTATATTATAATGCATGATTGTAAAGCTGTTTGAGTTGCTGACCTGAGTTAATAAGAAAAAATGATCAATGAATTTTGACTTGGTTTTAGGCCAATTTCCAACAATGTTTGAAATGACCCTATTGACTTCTGTCATTTGGTGCTACATATTTAGGTGAAGAAGAATTTTCAGGAATGATGATTAGAAAAGCAATATATTAATTTCCACAAATGTTGAATATGTTCTGTATCTTTCAGTGCCAAATAGTCAATGAAAATTTAATTCTTAATATAAAAATAAAAAAGCGTATGCATTTTATCAGTATTCAAATATCTCTTCATCTTTAATAAATTATAAGACTATACGGGGGCTTGAAAGACTGCTCTGCAATTAAGAACACTGCTTGTTCTCACAGAGGACCTGGATTTAATCTCAGCATCCATGTGGTGGCTATCAATTGTCAGTAACTCCAGTTCCAGGAGAATCCAAAGCTCTCTTCTGAACTCCCTGAGCATGGCACAAAATGGGTACACTTACATACATGAAGGCAATACACTCATACATATAAGAAGAAAAATTATAAAATAAAATATTTAAAAAAGACTATATCAAATAAATATTTCACTTCTATCATTATTTACGTGTCTATACTTCCAAGGTCATGCAAAATTTTCTTTTGTGAAAAGGGAACTTGAGTGGGAAATGTTTAGGAAGTCCTACTTTAGAAGTAACTAAGGCTAAATGAGGTCATAAGGGCTGGGTTTTCATGTGATGTCCTCATGAGAACAGCCAGAAAACAATTGATTTCTCTGTATAGTAGCTCAGAAAAAGTTAAATCGGAGCACACCAAAAACAGAAACATCTGTAAGACAAGATGATCGATTTCAGAGAAACCAATACTACTGGAATCTTAATCATGGACTTCCAGCACCCAAAAGAGTGAAAAAATAACTTTCTGTTGTTTATGCCACCCAGACTATAGTATTTTGTTATGACAGCTCTGAAGTACTTACACAGTGACCAACAGGTAACTGTTACTGACTGTATAGCTCTTCCACTGACTTCATGTGACATCCTTCTATACTCAGCAGAACCCTTGGAATACCTACTGATTATGTGTGGGTTTTTTTTTTTGCACAACTCTATTCTCGCTAATATTTTGCTATGAAACTTCAACTTCATGTGAGCTCTTTCTGAAGTCCTAGCTCTATCTTCTCCACTCAGAGTGACTACCTAGTTTAGCTTAGTCTTACAAAGTTGTGCTGGAACCTAGAAACCATTTCTCTACAATAAATTGGGAAAATCATAGGCTTCCATCATGTTTTCATTCAAAAGATTGTCATTTTATGCAACTTGAAATACAGAGTCTGTAACTATTAGCAATGCAATTTTTTGTTCTTTAATTATTTTAAACAAAGGTCCCAGATACAAGAGGACTTTTTTTTGTCTTTTTGAGACAGGGCCTCATTGTAGCGCCAGCTGTCCTAGAACTCACTATGTAGACCAGGCTGGCCTCGAACTCACAAAGATCCACTTGCTTCTGCCTCCCAAGTGCTGGAATTAAAGGCGTCCACCACCGCGCCCAGCTTACAAGAGGATTTTTTAAAAATATATTTTATTTATTATTTTTATTTTCTGTGTATGAGTGTAATGCCTGCATGTATGTGAGTGCATCCATGTCATGTAATGCCACGGAGGTCAGAAGAGGGCGTCATATTCCCCTGGAACTGCAGTTAAGTACGGTTCATAGCCGCCATGTGGGTGCTGGGAATCGAACCCGGCTCCTCTGCAAGAGCAGTGAGTGTTTTTAACTTCTGAGGCATCTCTCCAGCCCCAACAAGAGGAATTTTGTTACCCTTAAGTACAAATGCATATTTTTAAAAGATAAATTGATAATTATTTCGAACCATAAGTGATTCATCACAGTTTTGATTCAGCCAGTTCTCAGACTTGTGAAAGCAGGTCAAATATCTTGAATATTTATGCCTCATTTTCTAATTTGTAGCACTGGGAAGAAAATAAATAACAAAGAATATTGGCAACATTATACTATTTTAATGGAGGTGTGAACTCTCTAATGGAATTTTATATACAAACATGAGGCTTCTGTATTGTTAACCAGACCTTGGAAGTTCAAACTGCTTTGGGATTGTTGCAATGTTGCAGTGTTGTAATGGTGGCATGTGTGCCTCTCCCCCGCCCCCATACTTGAGATATAGCTTTATTCCACATAACACCTTGGCATGGATCTGACTATGTAGATAAATCTGGCCTTGAACTCATGAAAACCCTCTTGCATCAACCTCCTCAGGCCTGGGATTACAGGCATGAGCCACCATGTACAGCTCCTGGGTTGTTTTTTTTGTTTTTTTTTTGTTTGTTTGTTTCATATGATTTTTAATTATTGAACATTTAAGCTAAACCATTTATGTCTGCACTTGCAGTCCATAGACTTCAGATTATTTTATTCCTTTTATTAAAAAATATAGAAGGGACCAAAGAGACAGCTCAGCAGTTAAGAACACTGGCTGTTCTTGCACAGGACCCGGGTTTGAGTCCCAGCATCTACATGGCTGCTAACAACCCTCTTTATCTCAAGTTCCAGGAGATCAGATGTCCTCTTCTGACCTCTGTGAGCACTGTACAACACGAGTGTACCTACCTACATGCAGTCAATACACACATACACATAAAAAAAAGAAAAAAAAAGGAAAAAAGAGGAAAATCAGGAAAACATGATTGAGCTAACTGAAATATGTAAGGGAATCTAAAATCTAAACAGAGATAGCGTCCTGTGAACTATAATATTTGGCTTTTCTATGCCAATAGAACTATAATATTGGCTTTTCTATGCCAATAGAAAACAAATTACAGCATTTGTCATTAGTTAATAAAATGTTGGAAAAATAGTTAAATTACAGTATTTGTCATTAGCTAACAAAATGTTGGAAAAATAGTATCAGAAGTAAGGAAACTTTGAAAAGAAGGTGAAGGGGTAAGAAGCTGAAAAGGGCTTAGACAGATATCTTTGCTTTGGGGAAAGCAAGTATTTAAAAACCACGTTTCAAAAAAAATTCACTCCTCTTCATCAAAGGAACGATGTCGTCTAAAAGAATGCACGGTGAAACTGTTCAAATGTTTTTAAAAATGTATACCAAGAAAAATAATCATTTAGAATATTTTTAGAAAAGCAGCCCCACTTCCCACATGTTCATAATAGGAGAAGAAATGTTATGAAATTATTTTTGACAGTCCTAAAGTTGATGTTTAAATAGAACTTTTATTTTTAATGGAAAGAGGAATGCCAAACATTATCCTTTCTTTCTGTGCAACTTGTCTGACAAGAGTAAGCAGTTATACATTACAGGAAGGAAGGCATCAACGTGTCAAGAAGTTTCAGAATACAATAAGAAATGCACTCAGTGTCTCCCCTCTCTCTCTCTCTCACACACACACACACACTCATATATATATATACATATTTATAAATTGATATATATGTATATATATATAAAACAAAAACAAAGAAAGACGGAAATTTCAAAGGGAGTGGGAGGACGTGGGAGTAGTTGGAGGGGCTCTGGGAAGGTATAAAGTAATGCAGACACAATACTTAATGCAAGAAATTCTCAAAAATAAATGAAATAAATGAGAAATATTAGGAGAAACTAACTTTGTGTCCACTTTGATCTTGAACTTTTAGCTTCCAAATTACTGAGAAAATAATTGTCTAATTTTGAAACCACCTAGTCTGTGGTATTTTATTACAGTAATTCTGTACAACTAACGTAACATAGAAA